AGCCAGCATGGCTGGCTGGGGAATTCTGGGAGTTGAAGTCCACTCATCTTAAAGTGGCCAAGTTTGGACCACACTGCTCTAGAGCCTCTAATCACAGCTGTCCACTATCTATAAAATGGAGAACTCCTTTATTGCCAAGGTCAGAACAGGAAAAACGTAAAGAAGGAGATGCCCCAGATCTAATTAAAGGAAAGGCACTGGTTATAGATGACTTTTTCGAAGATGAGGAAGACTTAACTCAACTATTTGCCACTGTCCCCCCCAAGGAACAACAACTGATCTTAAGCAAGCTTGAAACAGTTAAATCTATGCTGCCGTCAGCCACCACTGCAACTGAGACTCTTAACACCTTACTTCCTTCTAGCTGCTCTTCCATGGAAGTGCTGCTAAGTCCAGCCTCTGAGAGCACAAAATCCCCAACAAATAAAAGAAGAAGGTGTGCCAGCCCAAAGCAAAACTATACCAAAAAAAGGGACATCCAACGGGTCAATGTAGCACAATCTTCACTTAACTATTTGGAAGGTAAGTCTGTAGCTGATGACCTAATATTGCTGGCTTCTGAGTATCAGTCTGAGCAATCTCCAGAATTGCTTCCACCAGCTGACCCCAGCATTGTCCACAACTCTGACCTTACTTCTCAAGAAGATATTCTATCCATACCTTGCCACTCACCATTGCAAGCCAATATTACGCAGAGGAATCTGACCTTACTTGTCCTCAGGCTCAGCAAATGAGAAGGATACTCTGAGTCTATTGTCATTAGCAGTAGGTACTGGGCTCACAGATACAGAGTCATCAATACCGAATCAGAGTTTGTTGAATAATGACTCCTATGATAAAGAAGATCAGCAGTCACAACCTAGAGAAAGGAAAGCTGAACTTTATAACAACTGTGTATACACAGGAAGTATCGACAACAAATATAAGAAACTCATTACATCAAAGAAAAAAAAAGCTATGCTGCCTCAATTTGGTCTGGACTTGAGCTGTCAGCAAAAAGTCATAACTCGGCTATATTTTGGCATTCTGTAGCCGGAATCCTGAAAGAACAGAGTTTTGCATTCAATATACCAATCTCTGCCGAGGAATGGAAAAACTACTATCATGACCTGTTTGCTCTATCAGAACCTGTTGAGAAACAGTTTCTAAGTAGTGATTTATCTCTTACTGAAGCCTCACCTCTTTGGCCACCAGTATTAGAAAACAAGATCAAATCTATCATAAAAGGTTTGAAGAGCAATAAAGCCCCCGGGGAGGACTTTCTACCGGCTGAGCTATTCAAAAAATATCCCGACTGGTGGAGTTCTCTATTGGCAGGTTTATTTACACATATAAATAATCCCTGCCATATCCCAGCTGGGTGGAAGTTGGCAATAGTAGTTTCTATATACAAAAAAGGGAATAAAAAGGACCCTAGCAATTACAGACCCATTAGCCTAATAGATATTGTGGCTAAAATATATGCTAGGTTCCTTTTGAGTAGAGTTGAGAGTTGGGTAGATGAAAAGTGTATTCTCACGGAAGAACAAGCTGGCTTTAGACAGAGACGATCTACTATTGATAACTGCTTTGTCCTGAACCATCTAGTTACAAAATATACCAGTAAGGGGAAACAACTGTTTGCTGCCTTTGTAGATCTTAGTGCAGCATTTGACACAGTAAATAGAGAAATATTATGGAGGAAATTGACTGTCCTCATTTGACACAGTAAATAGAGAAATATTATGGAGGAAATTGACTGTCCTCATTTGACACAGTAAATAGAGAAATATTATGGAGGAAATTGACTGTCCTCAAAATGGAACCCAGACTGCTGGCGTTGATCAAAGCCCTTTATACAAGCACTAGTTTGAGAGTGCAGTTTGGGATTAATGGAGCCATAACAAGAAGGATTGATACTTGTAAAGGAGTAAGAGAAGGATGCATACCTGCACCATTGTTATTTAGCCTATATATTAACGACTTACCAGGACTAATGAAGGACCCTGAAGTACATATGCCCAAGGTGTTAAACATGTATTGTAACAACTTGCTACATGCTGATGATACGATTTTACTATCATATTCGCAAGTAGGTTGCATAGGTTGTTAAGAAGACTTGGCTCCTACCGTCATAATAATTCTCTAATCATTAATAAATCAAAGTCAAAAATGATGGTCTTTGGAAAACGATATCATAACCATAGATGGCTATTAGATGGTGAGACAATAGAGCAAGTTAATACCTTCCCTTATCTAGGGGTAGTCTTCTCTGAGACTGGATCTTGGCTTCCGCATCAACAAAGGAGCTCGCTTAGAGCAAGGGCACGTATGAATTTACTGCTCAAATTAATAAATCATAGCTATCCAGGCTCCTTAGCCCCAATTATCACAGTCTACAAGGTTACTCCTATGCTCTTATATGGCGCTGAGGTTTGGGGTTTTAAATGCATATCACTATTAGAACAAATGCAGTCACAGCATCTGAGAAGTATCCTGGGTGTGGATAAAAGAACTTCAGCTTCTGCAGTGAGAACCAAACTGGGAATCCATACAATTTGTTCTTTGTCTAAAATCAGGGCTTATAATTATTGGTGCAAAATCAGTGCTATGGCAACTGACAGACTCCCAAAAT